GCAAGGACATAGACAAAACCGAAGAAATCCTTATCAAGGTTTTGAAATAGTGTCCTGGGGTCCAGCATGGTGGCTCACACCTGTAATCCCAGCACTTTGAGAGGCCAAGGTGGGCGGATCACCTGAGGTCAGGAGTTCGAGCCTAATCTGGCCAACATGGTGAAACTAAAAATGAAAAAAATTAGCCTGTCTCTACTAAAAATGAAAAAAATTAGCCGGGTGTGGTGGCAGGCACCTGTAATCCCAGCTATGTGGGAGGCTGAGGCACGAGAATTGCTTGAACCCAGGAAGTGGAGGTTGCAGTGAGCCAAGATTGTACTATTGCACTCCAGCCTGGGCCACAAGAGTAAAACTCTGTCTGAAAAAAAAAAAAAAAAAAAAGGCTAGGCACGGTGGCTCACACCTGTAATCCCAACACTTTGGGAGGCCAAGATGGGCAGATCACCTGAGGTCAGGAGTTCATGACCAGCCTGGCCAACATGGTGAAACCCCGTCTCTACTAAAAACACAAAAATTAGCTGGGCATGGTGGTGTGTGCCTATAATCCAGCTACTCAGGAGGCTGAGGCAGGAGAATTACTTGAATCCGGGAGGCAAAGGTTGCAGTGAACTGAGATCATACCACTGCACTCCAGCCTGGGTGACAGAGCAAGACTCCATCTCAAAAAAATAAAAAAGAAAGAAAGAAAAAGAAAAAGAAATGGTGACCTGGGCAAAGTTTATTCAAAGGACTTTAGTCTGAGAACAGCTTCTGAATTGTACAGTTTCTGGGGCTGGTTGTAGGACAGATTTACTGGCTCTTGGTTGCTGGAGTGATTTCTCCAGTTAATTCTGATAACAAATAAGACTCTGGGATGCTAACAAGTTGCACAACCCCTCAACAGTTGGCATCCCTACCTTTCTAGAGGGACAAGTTGTGTTTAGTCACCAGAGATTCAGCAATAACAGATGTGTGATACCCTTAGACATTCGAGGCTGATCATCTTTCCTATTTTTATTCTTTCTGTTTTTTTTCATTTGTTTTTGTTTTTGTTTTCTTGAGACAGAGTCTTGCTCTGTCACCCACGCTGGAGTGCAATGGCATGATTTCGGCTCACTGCAACCTCCACCTCCTGAGTTCAAGTGATTCTTCTGCCTCAGCCTCCCAAGTAGCTGGGATTACAGGTGCCTGCGACCGCGCCTGGCTAATTTTTGTATTTTTAGTAGAATCGGGGTTTCACCATGTTGGCCAGGCTGGTCTTGAAATCCTGACATCAGATGATCCACCCGCCTAGGCCTCCCAAAGTGCTGAGATTACAGGCCTGTGTCACCGAGCCCGGCCTACATCTATCCTTTTAATATCGACTTTGCCTCTTTTTTTCTTGTTTTGAGACAGACTTTTGCTCTTGTTGCCCAGGCTGGAGTGCAATGGTGCGATCTCTGCTCTCCGAATCCTCCACCTCCTGGGTTAAAACGATTCTCCTGCCTCAGCCTCTCAAGTAACTGGGATTACAGACATGCATCACCACACCTAGCTAATTTTGTATTTTTAGTAGAGATGAGTTTCTCCATGTTGGTCAGGTTGGTCTCAAACTCCCAACGTCAGGTGATCTACCCACCGCAGCCTCCCAAAGTGCTGGGATTACAGGCAGGAACCACAGTGCCCAGCCTTTCTTTTGAGACAGAAATCTTGCTCTCTCACCCAGCTGGAGTGCAACGGTGTGATCTGGGCTCACTGCAACCTCCGCCTCCTGGGTTCAAGTGATTCTTCTTCCTCAGCTTCCCAAGTAGCTGGGATTACAGGCACCTGCTGTCATGCCCAGCTAATTTTTGTATTTTTGTAGAGACAGGTTTCACCATGTTGGCCAGGCTGGTCTTGAAGTCCTGACCTCAGGTGAGCCGCCCACCTTGGCCTCCCAAAAGGCTGGGATTACAGGTGTGAGCCACCGCACCCGGCCCAACTTTGCCTCTTATAGACAAGCAACATTCAAAATACTAGACAAGAAGACATCACAGGAATGAGTGTAGAAGGACAGAAAACAATCGCACCAAGGACAAAATAAAAATCGGATCAGAAAACTAAAAATCCAGGGTGGGAACCTTATTACAGGAGTGAAAAAACTGAAAAACAAAATAAACCCAAAGTTTAGCAGGGTGTGGTGGCTCACACCTATAATCCCAGCACTTTGGGATACTGACATGAGAGGATCACATTGAGCTCAGGAGTTTGAGACCAGCCTGGGCAACATGACGAAACCTCATCTCTACGAAAATAAAGAAATAAAGAAATAAAGAAATAAAGAAATAAATAAATGACATTGGTTAATTTTAGTGTCAGCTACTCAGGAGGCTGAGGCTGGAGAATCACCGGAGCTGGGAAGCAGAGGTTGCAGTGAGCTGAGATGGTACCACTACACTCCAGCCTGGGTGACAGAGTGAGACCCTGTCTCAAAATAAATAAATAAATAAACCCAATGCTTAAGGCTATCAGCAAAATATCGGAACTCCATTCATTGAGCACTTATCTCCCAGCCATCGGCAGGATGGCACCTCAGAGATATAAGTGGTTTCAGGTGTGCACATAGTGATGGGTCAAAGGTCTCAGTCCAAGGCAGTGAGGGCTTCCGCTGAGTCTTTGCTGTTCCTCCATTTCTGATAGTACCCTCCAACCGAGGACCACCAGGAAGCACCTATAGTTGAACAAGGGAGGCCAAACACCACGGACATCTCAGTAAGAGCATGTGTGAAAGGACTTACTACAAGATTGGGGCTTGTGTTAGATGAATTCCTAGGTGGGTTTAAAAAAGGGGGACGTTTGCTCTAGGTTGGATGTTATCAGGAAGTAGGAATCGTTCTTTCTGGTTATTTTCATAATTCTCATCTAGACAATGGGAGGAATGAGTCAAGCTAAAATTGTACTTGGTATAGACACCGCAGTGACTGGGTGCAGTGGCTCACACCTGTAATCTCAGCATTTTGGGAGGCTGAGTCGGACAGATCACTGGAGGTCTGAAGTTCAAGACCAGCCTGGGAAACAGGGTGAAACCTCATCTCTACTAAAAATACAGAAATTATCCAGTCATGATGGTATGCGCATGTAATCCCAGCTACTCTGGAGGCTGAGGCAGGAGAATCGCTTGAACCTGGAGGCGGAGGTTGCAGTGAGCCGAGACTGCATCACTGCACTCCAGCTTGAGTAACAGAGCAAGACTGTTTCAAAAACAAAACAAAATAAACAAAAACAACAACAAAAAGCAGCAGTAACTTATGCTGCAGGAGAGAGGGTTGTGTTTGGTGGGGGTTGTGCTTAGTCATTTTTGTGGTTTGGAGAATGTTCTTGTTTCTGTGTTGAGGCTTAATTATGGTCTTTTTCTCGATCTATCAGAGTGACCTTGTCTGATGTTTTTTGTGAAACTCTTATGCTCAACAGGACACCACCATAGCCTCGCTGTTGGTGCCAGGCCAGCTCCTAGCAACACCAAGGCTTCTGGAGTGAGGGTGCAAACCAGCTCCCAGCTGGCAGCAGGTGCTGTTCTCTTTTTCACCGCCACCGAAATCAGAACTGGCAACCCCTTTGGTAGAACATGAGCTCCCGGTCATTACAGGCTCGTTTATCTCCAGTAACGGGCCCATGTCACTCATTTACACTCCGCACTCTCTTGCATGTGCATCCCTGACACCAACCACGCCCAGAGAAAAGTCTTTCGTCTAGCATCTTCCAGTAACCTGCTGGCAGGGTTGAAGGAAAAACCCCAACTCTGTGTTTTCCCTCCAGCAACCCCCACTTGCTAGACATTAAGGCAGATTGTTAAATCCCTGATGTATCAGCGTCTAAACTGGATGCAGATTGGGTCAGATAAAAACACTTGTCAGTGCACTTTCTTGTCAACAGTGGGTTCCTATCTTTTCTTCTTTCTTTTGGGGTTGGGTGCTAGGTCTCATGACATTAGCTGGGATTCTAAGACCTTTGTTCAGCTGCTGTGGCCACCCCTGACACACCCTCTGCTCCTCAAATACGGAGAATGTGTTGCTGCCTGACTGAAGTTTTTTTTTTTTTTTTTTTAAAGATGGAGTCTCACTCTGTTCCCATGCTGGAGTGAAGTGGCACTATCTTGGCTCACTGCAACCTCCACCTCCCGGGTTCAAGCAATTCTCCGGCCTCAGCCTCTGAGTAGCTGGGACTACAGGAGTGCACCACCACGCCCGGCTAATTTTTGTATTTTTTAGTAGAAACGGGATTTCATCATATTCGACAGGTTGGTCTCGAACTCCTGCCCTCATGATCCACCCGCCTTGGCCTCCCAAAGTGCTGGGATTACAACCATGAGTCACCGCACCCTGAGGATCTTTGGATTTGCCTTCTCTCTGCCTGGAACTCTTTCCTCACATCTCCACATGGCCGCTTCCCAGCTTCAACTCGGCATTACCTCCTCTGGGAGGCTTTCCATCCTTGGTTGCCCGCGCAACACTGCTACCCCTTTGGCCTCTGTTTTTTGTTCGTTTGTTTGTTTTAGGACACTATGCTGCCCACGTGCAGTCGTCCGATCACAGCTTATTGCAGCCTCCAACTCCTGGCCTCAAGCAATCCTTCTGCCTCAGCCTCCCGAGTAGCTGGGCTTAGAGGCTGGGGTTATAGGTGTCAGCCACCGCGCCCAGCCGCTTTGGCCTCCTTTAAGAGTTTTCCTCCGTGCTTTGTTCGCAGTTCTCGTCACGGTCTGTTCACTGCGCAGGGCTGGGAGGCGGGAAAATGCCCAAAGCCCAGACCTCTGGGTCTCAGTTTCCCCTCAAGCTCGTGAAGCTCTCTAAGAGCAGAGACCCAATCACGAGGCAGAGACTTCGCTTTCCACATCTGGCAGGGGTCGGTAGCATCCTCGATCTGGTCTTGGATACTACAGACCAGAGGGGAGCGCATATCGACCTGCTCCGAGACCCTCAGGCCTCAAGCCGCTCTTCCGCCGGCTCCCCCTGCAAGCCCACTGCGCATGCTCCGTACTTGCAGCCCCCGCCCCCCTTTCGGGGACGGAGCCGCGCCTGCGCAGCTTCCCGGCGCCGGCTTCCGGGTGGTGCGAGTGCGATGGGGCGGAGGGCAGGTGTCGCCGAGTAGCCGCGGCGAGTGGGCGTGTACACCAAGCGGTCTGGCCAGAAGGCTGGGGACGGCCGAGGGTCTCGGGAGCAGGCCAGAGGGCGCGGAGAGAGCCTGGGATCGCCGTCCGCCGCTGCCACCCGGCATGTCGGCGGAGGCCTCGGACTCGGCAGCCGCCGCGGCCCCATCCCTGGAAACCCCTAAGCCCTCGGGTCTAGAGTCTGGCCCCGCCGCCTACGGTCTCAAGCCGCTGACCCCGAACAGCAAGTATGTGAAGCTGAACGTGGGCGGCTCGCTGCACTACACCACGCTGCGCACCCTCACGGGACAGGACACCATGCTCAAGGCCATGTTCAGCGGCCGCGTGGAGGTGCTGACCGACGCCGGAGGTACGAGCGGCATCCCCACCGTGCATCCATCCCCAGACCCCCAACTCCCGTACCTCACGGTCTCTCACCACCGGGGCTCTTCATGCCCCTTCTCTCTGCTCACTACTGTCCGGTCAACTCATTCTCAGCTTCCTCCAGCGCCCACATCCCATCTCCTCTCCTTTCTCATTCATAATTTCCCTTCTTCCCCAGTCCTTTACCCCCAGCAATAACCAACATTTACGGAACCCGTAACTCTGCCAGGCAAGTGGTAAGTGATTGAACGTGTCACTTCATAATCGTCATGAAACTTCTCCCACCCTTCACCCCTCAGCTCAAGACTTGGGTACTAGCCCTGCTGCCTGCAATTCTACTCCTGGCAGTCTTCATCAGTTTCTTCCAGCTGCCCAGCCTTTTGTTTCCCTCTCTGCCTCAGAACTGCTCAGCCAGCCTGGAGAGGTGGGAGATCTTGTCTGCCTCTGTGTTCCCCCGACACAGGTCCCTGTGCACTCTAGGAATCCACCTGTCGATACACATTACAAAAGGAGGATGCTTTGAGTTTGCCAGGGACACCAGAGTGGAGGGGTGGACAGGTCTCCTTGGCAGGTGAACCTTACCTTCTTGGAGTGTCGCATTCAAGTTTGGACCCTGCATGCCCAAGTGAGACCTTAAAAGTTTTGGAGTTTGGAACTGGGAAATTCTTAAGGGAGGAGTTAACAAGGACTATGAGAACAGGAGAATAAAAATTTGGGAGGTGGACATCTGCCTTCAAGTATCAAAGGTGAAGAATTTGGCTGGGCTCGGTGGCTCATACCTGTAATCCCAGCACTTTGGAAGGCCGATGTAGGTGGATCACCTTAGGTCAGGAGTTTTGGACCAGCCTGACCAATATGGTGAAACCCCGTCTTTACTAAAAATACAAAAATTAGCTGGGTGTGGTGGCAGGCATCTGTAGTCCAAGCTACTGAGGAATCTGAGACAGGAGAATCGCTTGAACCTGGGAGGCAGAGGTTGCAGTGAGCCGAGATTGTGCCACTGCACTCCAGCTTGGGCAACTCAGCGTAATTCCGTCAAAAAAAAAAAAAAAAAAAAAAAAAAAGTGACGAATTCATTTGTCCAATAAGTATTTATAAAATATCAGTTAATGCTGGAGATACATAAGTAAATGAACCTGACAAAATTATGGAAAGTCCCCTTTTTTAAGGAGGTGGGAGATGAGATCAGTAAGCAAGTTAAAATGTATATGCATATGCAGTTGCAGATGATAGTTCTTTCTTTTTTTTGGTAAGTTCTATGAAGAATATAAAAGTTAAAATGGTAGTGAACTGGAGGGAGGAGGTAGACATTTTAAATAGGATGGTCAGAATTAACATGGGGGTTAGAGGTTTACTGATAAGGTAATTCGGTAAGAACTTTCATGGTAAGAGCCTTCTGACTGTAGATCAGATATGGAAGAATTAATTCTCTGGCTGGATATGTATAAAAACTTATGGGAGACCTCACTAGAGATATTTTAAAGATATTTTGGCCGTGGCACAGATTAGTATTCAGTCTTTTTTGTGACTTTGGAATCCTTTTTTTTTTTTTTTTTTTGAGACGGTGTTTCCCTCTTGTTGCCCAGGCTGGAGTGCAACGGCGCCATCTCGGCTCACTGCAACCTCCGCCTCCCAGGCTCAAGCTATTCTCCTGCTTCAGCCTCCCAAATAGTTGGGATTACAGGCATGCGCTACCATGCCTGGCTAATTTTGTATTTTTAGTAGAGATGAAGTTTTTCCATCTTGGTCAGGCTGGTCTCGAGCTCCCGACTTCACAGCTTAAAAAAATGTGAGGTGATGCGCCCGCCTAAGCCTCCCAAAGTGCTGGGATTACAGGCGTCAGCCACCACGCCTAGCTGGAATCCTTTTTTTCTTTTTTTTTCTTTTTTTTTTTTTTTGAGACGGAGTTTCGCTCTTGTTACCCAGGCTGGAGTGCAATGGCACGATCTCGGCTCACCGCAACCTCCGCCTCCTGGGTTCAAGCAATTCTCCTGCCTCAGCCTCCTGAGTAGCTGGGATTACAGGCACGCGCCACCATGCCCAGCTAATTTTTTGTATCTTTTAGTAGAGACGGGGTTTCACCATGTTGACCAGGATGGTCTCGATCTCTCGACCTTGTGATCCACCCGCCTCGGCCTCCCAAAGTGCTGGGATTACAGGCTTGAGCCACCGTGCCCAGCCCTTTTTTTCTTATAAATTAGGCCAGGTGTGGTGACTCACACCTATAATTCAGGTACTTTGGGAGGCTGAGATGGAAAGATCACTTGAGCCCAGGAGTTCAAGACCAGCCTGGGCAACATAGTGAGACTCCATCTCTACAAAAAATTTTTTTTTAATTTAGTAGCTCCAGGTCCCCCAGCAAAGCCATCTTTCCTTCTGCCTTTCCCCACCCTACTAGGTTGGGTGCTGATTGACCGGAGCGGCCGTCACTTTGGTACAATCCTCAACTACCTGCGGGACGGGTCTGTGCCACTGCCGGAGAGTACCAGAGAACTGGGAGAGCTGCTGGGAGAAGCACGCTACTACCTGGTTCAGGGCCTGATTGACGACTGCCAGCTGGCGCTGCAGGTGAGGGCCTTCCGAGTCCCTGTGCCTATGTTCCTGAGAGAGCTGCCCAAGCAGGTATTAGGACAGAAAAAAGGAGATATGGGGTATGGCCTGGAGAGCCTGCCTCTGATTGGCCATAACCCCAGAGAATTTGGGATGCTGTCTTCTGCATCCCTGCTGCCTCAGGCAGTGCCCCTACCCCAGCCTCATGCCAGGACCATTGCAATGGTTAAATAGCTGCTCTCTGCTTCCTGCTGTTCCTATGCAGCCAGTCCAGCTGTTACACTCGCACCTGAGTAATTATCCTTAACCACAACTCCCATCTATTCTCTCTCTCGTTCAGAAATGCTAAATAGCTCTCTCATGTCACCTGGGAAAAACATCTAAATTTAAATTGAAATATAATAACCTCTGCGATCTGGTCCTATCCTGGGAGGCAGCATTTCCCATGGCTTCCACCCCCCAGGGGCTTTCTAATTGTTTTTTTTTTTTTTTTTTTTAAGCGGTTAAATTCTTTATTCTAATGAAATCTCACAGAAGCAGGGCCACTCCCAGTAAAACAGGATTGGGGATTCTAGAGAGCCCACCTGCTGGGCTTCACTTCTGTGGACCCCTTAGGGTTCTGAAGATCAGAGCTTGAAAGTGAAGCCAGGACATAGGAATTCTGTGTCACCTGTCACAGCTGACTCAGTGACCTTCAGTGAGTCCATTCCTACCTCTGGCATTCTGTCATGTTCCAAAAGATAGTGAAGGGAGAAAAATAAGTACGAAGTAGTGAGTTTTACATAAAGCCTGTTACTCTGTTCTATTTTTACAATGTTAAAAAATGTCCTTTCTTTTATGATACAGTAGTAAGAGGAGATTATAAAAGTTTATTTTTTCTTTCTTTCTTTTTTTTTTTTTTTTTTTGAGACAGAGTCTTGTTCTGTTACCCAGGCTGGAATGCAATGGCATGGTCTCGGCTCACTGCATCCCCCGCCTCCCAGGTTCAAGCGATTCTCCTGCTTCAGCCTCCCGAGTAGCTGAGATTACAGGCGCCCACCACCATGCCCAACTGATTTTTGTATTTTTAGTAGAGTTGGGTTTCACCATGTTGGGCAGGCTGGTCTTGAACTCCTGACCTTGTGATACACCCGCCTCAGCTTCCCAAAATGCTGGGATTACAGGCATGTGCCACCACACCTGGCCGATCATAAAAGTTTATTTTCGAATGTCCTTTGTAGATTAAAAAGTGGCCTGTCTGAACAACTTTCTGTTGTCTCAGGGAATACTTACTGGTTCTTGAAACCCAAAGGTGTAGAACTCCTCTGGACAATATCTGTGTTTTCAAATTTTTCATTGCATCCCATAGGGGAAAAAATGCATTTTAATACTCATATATAACCGAAATAACAGTTTTATAAAAAGATACTTTTAGTGAAATGTACTCTGATGATCTTCTTTCTTTTTATGCTGTTTGGGACCCATTACTTATTTCATGACCCATTAATAAGTTACTGCTTGCATTTGAGAAACACTCATTGAACTAGATCTTAGAAGTACATTCCTGCTCTGTATTTTTTTTTCTTTTTCTTTTCTTTTTTGGAACAGAGTCTCTCTGTTTCCCAGGCTGGAGTGCAATGGCATGATTTCAGGTCACTGCAACCTCTGCTTCCCGGGTTCAAGCAATTCTCCTGCCTCAGCCTCCCATGTAGCTGGGATTACAGGCACCCACCACCACTATTTGCTACTTTTTTGTATTTTTAGTAGAGACAGGGTTTCACCATGTCGGCCAGGCTGATCTTGAACTACTGACCTCATGTGATCTACCTGCCTTAGCCTCCCAAAGTGGTGGGATTACAGGTGTGAGCCACCGCGTGAGGCCTGCAGTTTTAAATTTACTAATTTTATCATGTATCTGCTGTGTTTCAAGAGCAATTCTGCTATCTGCCTGTGTATGTATCTTGTACCCTTGTTTGACATAAAAAGAAACACAAGGGAGCTTGGGTGATGCATCCAAGGTCAAAGAGCTTGGAAGCAGCAGAGCTCAGATTTGACCCCAGGTTACCTGGCTATCTGACCATCAGCCTCCCAAGTGCAATGCTTTTCTGTACTCCTGCTCTTTCCTTTCCAAGCTCCCTCCCCACCCCATACAGCTCGGCACACTCCTTAGTGTGACATTTCATCATCGTTATTGGTCTGTGCAAACCTTTTCTCTTTCATTTTATTTCTTTCCCTTCATTCCCAATCCCCTGCCTACTTTCCTTTTCCCCAGGGGCACCCATCCAATTCTAATGTTTTGATACATATGCTGGAAAAGCTAAAGCATTGTTCTGCATATGTGTGCATTTGAAATGTCCATAAATGGCATTGAAGCTGTGAATCAGTTTTCTGTTGCATTGTGTTTTTTTAATTCAGCACTTTTTTCAAGATCTATTCATGCTGCTCCAAGTACATCTAGTTCTTTGCCTCTAACAGCTGCAGAGGAATCTATGGTGTTCATTCACCATATTTTGTTCACATATTCCCCTGAGGTTGGAGACCTAGATTGCCTCCCAGTTCCTGGTCCTACAAACCGTGTCACCATAAGCATCCTGGTACGTGCTCCCTTCTGGCTCTGTGCCCGAGTCTCCTGTGATTGTAGCTGGGAGTAGAATTGCTGGATAACAGGACACCTGCAAACTGGGTTTTAGTAAATATCACCAAATTGCTCCCCGAATGGTTATAGCACTTTATCCTCATAATGAGCAGTGCATAAGAGATGCCATTTCTGCATGTCCTCATCAAAACATGGCATCATCCAGCTTTCTAATTTTGCCAATCTGATGAGTGTAGTGTGATCTCATTTTCATTGCATGCCTCTGATTACTAATGAGGTTCAGCATCTTTTCATATACTCACTAGCATTTTTTTTGTTTCCCTTTCTGTGAATTGCTTATTCATGTTCTTTACCAGATTTTCTGTTTTCTTTTTCATGTGGCTTAGCAGGAGATCCTTGTATATTTTAGTTTAGTTCCTAGGGATAATTAAGCCCTATTACATATGAGCTTGTCTTATCCATGCCCTGGGGATGGATTGCACATAACAAATTAACCTCGAAGCCTATAAAATGGGACTGTTTACCTATCCTCCTCAACAAATTTCAGAAAATACTCTAAGTATTTGCTGTGTTTTGTTTTTCTTTTTCTTTTTTTTTTTTGTTTTTTTTTGTTCTTTTGCCCAAGGTGGAGTGCAATGGCGCAATCTCAGCTCACTGCAACCTCTGCCTCTGGAGTTCAAGGGATTTTCCTATCTCAGCCTCTTGAGTAGCTGGGACTACAGGTGCACATCACAATGCCCAGCTAATTATTTTGTAATTTTTGGTAGAAATGGGGCTTCACCATGTTGGCCAGGCTGGTCTTGAACTCCTGACCTCAAGTGATCCGCCTGCCTTGGCCTCCCAAAGTGGATTCGGCGTGAGCCACCATGCCCAGCTTTGCTGGTTTTTGAGATTCAGATGCGGAACTCCAGTTGATAAAGTCTGTTCTAGATAAAAATATCTAGTCAATGTAGATATTGCCAGTATTTTCTCTTAGAATGTTACCTGCTTATGGCATCTAGCATTGAATGGAAATCCTTGATTTTTTTAAAGCTACAAATAACCATTTATTATTTTGAAGCAGTATTTATTAACTGTAGAAATTCCAGAAACACAAGTAATCTAAAAAATAAAAGCACCAAATATCCTTTCAGGTCTTTTCCTGTGTGTGAGTTTATGTGTGCATGTATGTGTTTTGCTTGCCAAAATAGAATCGTGTTGTATGAAATGTTTTATAATCTGCTTTTTGTTGTTGTTAATAATTGCCATCTTTACATGTCAATAAATATTTAATGTCCAGTCCAGGGCATACTCCAGTTTCTCCAGTTGTTCCAGAAATGTGTTTTTATACCTGGTTCATCAAACCAGGGACTAGTCTAGATCTTCACGTTGCGTCTGGTTATCTGCAAGTTGACTATGGAGAGCATGACTTACAATCTCATGTAATGATGTTAAAGAGATGAGAAGAGTTAGAGGTATTCTGTGGCACAAATGTAATTACTGCCTCAGGTAAGGATTATCCATTGGTTCGTCATTGATAGGTAACTGCCTTAATACAGTGGCCAAGCCGGGCGCGGTGGCTCACGCCTGTAATCCCAGCACTTTGGGAGGCCGAGGCGGGTGGATCACGAGGTCAAGAGATCGAGACCACCCTGGTCAACATGGTGAAACCCCGTCTCTACTAAAAAATACTAAAAATTAGCTGGGCATGGCGGCACGTGCCTGTGATCCCAGCTACTCAGGAGGCTGAGGCAGGAGAATTGCTTGAATCCAGGAGGCGGAGGCTGCGGTGAGCCGAGGTCGCGCCATTGCACTCCAGCCTGGGTAACAAGAGCGAAACTCGGTCTCAAAACAAAACAAACAAACAAACAAACAAAAAAACAAAAATACAGTGGCCAAATAACACCATATGCATTACTTTATTACAATCCAAGGGTCCCTTTTTCCTCATGATCCTGGCTTGTTAAAGATACTGCCAGCTGTCCTGCACAGCTGGCCAAATTGGCCTGGTTGTTTCCAAATTGGCCTGTATCATTTGGTTTGTTACCCAACCGTACCCTTAATTTCCTATATACCAGACTGTAGATTTAAAGTGACTGATACTGGCTGGGCACAGTGGCTCACACCTGTAATCCCAGCATTTTGGGAGGCTGAGGCGGGTGGATCTCTTGAAGTCAGGAGTTTGAGACCAGCCTGGCCAACATGGTGAAACTCCGTCTCTATTAAAAATACAAAAATTTGCTGGGAGTGGTGGTGGGCACCTGTAATCCCAGTTACTCGAGAGGCTGAGGCAAGAGAATCACTTGAACCTGGGAGGCGGAGGTTGCAGTGAGCCAAGATTGTACCATTGCACTCCAGCCTGGACAACAGAGCAAGACCTCTTCTCAAAATAAATAAATAAATTAATAAAATAAAATTACTGATATTAAACATTTTGGTTATAATACATTTTAGGTAATGTTAT